GGTGGAGGGTCGTGAAGAGACAAAAAGAAATATTTTGAACGGAAAATAAAGAAAAGGGAAAAAAGATAAAGAAATAATATGAACGAAAAGAACGAAAAGAATACGAAGAAAGGAATAATGACGAAGAAAGAAAGAAGAAAGAAATAATGACGAAGAAAGAAAAAAGAAAGAAATAATGACGAAGAAAGAAAGAGGAAAGGAAAAATGACAGAAAGAAAGAAAAAAGGAAAATTACGAAGAAAAAAAGAAGAAAAAAAGAAGAAAGGAAAAATGACGAAGAAAAAAAGAAGAAAGGAAAAATGACAAAGAAAGAAAGAAGAAAGGAAAAACGACGAAGAAAGAAAGAAGAAAGGGAAAATGACGAAGAAAGAAAGAAGAAGAAAATATTGAGTTTAAAAAGAAGGTAAATGATTAGTTTAATTATATTATAAGGTTAGGATAGATTAGATGAACCGAGATTAAAGTTTAAGGTTGCCAGGTTACAGATATAAACCTCTCTATCCTTGAGAATTGGTTTAAACTGTTTTCATGGCGCTGAATTGTAATCAAACCCCGACTTATTCTTTATTTTTACAATTCTAGTCTTCAGTCGTGAAGCTAGGATTTTAACTTTCTTTTTATAAGCTAGGGTTATTTAGTTTCCTATCTTCGACTGGTGCCTATTAGTATTCAATTAACCTTTTGATTTTATTTATTGTGTTAAGAAATTGATTTTTTGCATCCAAACGCAAAATTTCAAATCCCTTTATTTTTGCAACCATCTGGTGTAACCATTGATATCTTAAACTTAAACTAGAATTCAAAGTTTAAAATATCAAAGCTCCACGACATCGGGTTGACAAAAAATCAGTTTCTTTTACCCGTTTCGTATAACTTTGAAAGTTTCTGAATGTGTATTTAGTGCACTGATTGATATTAGGAAAAAGAATAAAGAAATCAAGTTCTTTAATGAGAGGAGGCGGGTTAAAGAGGGAGGGAAAATAAGGAATAAAGTGCTGGGGGAGGGGGGGGGGGGTTAGAAACAGGATATACTTTAACCCACCAGAGGGTAAAGATTTTCACAATGCTAAAACGTGCCTAGAGTTCCCACCTTTACGCTTGCTCTATACGCAACTTTTATCTCTCTACGCAATACGGGCACGTGCCCCAAATACACCGTGGGAGGAGGAGGGGGGGGGGGGCAATTAATTTAACCGTTGTAGCTTTAAAGAGTGTATTGGGCTGTACACAGAAGTGCATATTTAACATATGCAAAATATATAGCTACTAACTGCCTAGTGCTGATTTGCAAAAAAAGAAATTGCGACGTATAAAGAAAACTCCGTCTGTATACAACATCTGTTATTCTTACTTTACAATTAATGTGAAGAACTGAAGAACAAAAACTCTCGTTAACTAAGATTTTCAAATAAAATTGCCGAAAATCCGGGAAAATTTCGATACTTAGTTGATTATCTTAAAGGGGCTTACGACGTAATATAAGTGCATCTTTTTATTTCTGTAAAAATGGTAAATTTTGACAGTTTCTCCGTTGTCTCTGCTGCTCCATAGCTCCGCAAGTCAATTTCAAAGAGAACCCACAGTTGAAAATTATTAATTTTCCGAAAGAAACGTCTGGATATGATTTTTTGTAATATCGAGCTTCCTCTTTAATGTAAGGTCACCGAAAATAACGTCACAATCCCTTTAATATTTAAACACAAAAACACTTGAAAAAGCGTAATTAGCCTACTTTCCTTTAATATAGTTCAACATTTAGAAGAAAGTCAGGAATCCTAGGCCGTCCATTGCAATGCAAAAAATTTAAATGTTGGAAGATTAGCAACCAAAAAAAACCCACAAAATTTCTACATTGATTCCAGCAAAATAGGGCAGTGATAAAAGAATAAAATATTGGATCTAATGTATAATTTCTATGAACATTTTATCAAAGAACTAAAAATTAGTACACTAAATAAACGTATTAGTACACTAACTAAAATTACTGTGTACAAGTACAATCTTAAAGTACTCAGTACTTTTTCACTAACTAAAATTCTAAAATACTTACAATATCTTAAAATCTAAAGTACTAGCACACTATGTAAAGGTACAAAGTACGTGTACAGTGTACAATAACTAAAAAAGTACTAGTGCACTATCTTAAAGTACAAAGTACTAGTACATTATCTAAAATTTTAAAGCACTAGTACACTTTGCATCTAAAAGTACAAAGTACACTTTCTAAATCGATCTATATCAAAGTACATAATTAATAAATCTAGTAGTACAATATAAAGTACATTATAGTTAGAAGTAGACTACCAAGTTTATGATCAAAAGAAACAGACTAAGGAAAGTTATATAATCATCAAAAGTATCTATATATATAAAGTTGTTGTATGTCTAGGTGTCTGTTTTTCTGTCTGTTTGTTTGTTAATCCGATCACAGCTTAATCCGATTACAGCTCAGGAACCCCTGGACCGATTTGCCTCAAATTTTAATTGGGGAACTCCGGAGAACCAACTGAATGATCTTAGCTTGGTTTGAGATTCTAAGTCGAGTGTTTTTTAGGAAAAATAGCTAAAATCATAATTTACGACCAGGTGCGGGTAAACGGGGGGAGTAACTATGAGTAACTTGGGCAATACTGGGTTCCCAAGCTAGAATATTATATAATAATACGAGTTACGAGAAAAAGAGATATAAGACAATTGTAAAATGTAACTAAAGCAGGTTCGAAAATTTCACCCTTTCAAACAAATTATTGTAATTTCTACAATATTTTGTTCTCTGGGATATAATGAAGAATTAAACATACACATTTTAATAATTTTCGCCAATTTAGCAAAAAAAAACATTTTTTGCGCTCTGTGCATACATCTGAGACAGATTTCTGAAAAAAGGGTTATCAAAAACTCTACAAATACCCCCCCCCCCCCCGGAAATAGATACCCTGAAAAGAGAATAATAGATATTCTCTACTAATTTCCTTGGTTCTATTGGTAGTAGTAACCGATACTTCTATTCTCTTGGGGGGAGATTAAAGGACGAAGGGGAGGGCATGAATTGAGAGGGTGGAATGGGGTATTATCACATAAAAAATAAGAAATTAATTATCCTTCAAGCGAAAAATCCGTTTTTAAGAAGATGATCAAAGTAAGAAAAATTAAGTAAAAAACAAAAATGAACAGAAGCTATTATGAAAGATCGTCGCAAAATGAAGAATAAAAGAGATTTTGATAAAAAAGTTTTTTTTTTACAAAACCTCAATGCTCTTTGTTCTTAAAATATAAAGACCCGATGAAATCTTGGCAATCCTGTTATTCTTGATTAAACTGCACTGGTTTTTTTTTAAAGGGACATCTTACGTCGTTTCCAAAATATGCACAATTCGCTAAATCTTTTTCAACATTTGTTAAATCTGAGTAACGGTAAGAAAAATATCTTGAAATGAAATAAACACGAACAAATTTCCTTGGCTCTATTAATCGCAATCTAACAACGAAATCACAAAGAACAAGAAACCAAGATCAAAATCTAGGTTTAGAAGGGTTTAATTTTGATAATTCATAGATGTTTTCTGCAGTAGAAATACTTGATCAGCTGCTAAGGGTACCGTTGTGAATCGGACATTGCAATCTGTGCATGAAGGGTCACTTGAAATTACGCTTACAGTCCCTTTACATTATAATTAAAATGAGCATGGAGCGCCCTAAAGGTTGAGCGTTATTCTTTTAAATATATTATATATGATATATTATGTATCATATATATATTCCATTTATATTCTCAGATACAATTTGATCTTATGGTACATGAAACTGGGTACATGAAACTGG